TAGTAATATTAAAAGGGATTTACTTGTGTGTGTGTTGTTATTCATTTTTTATTATCTAAAAGACTAGTTATTACTTTGGTAAGTAGGGATATTAAGGGATTTATTAAAGATTTAAAGTCCTCTAGGAAACTTGTTATTGTTTTGTTGATATCAGCTGTCGGTGGGGGCAGCTGTTGATTTGAGGAATGGCCTGACGTGATCTGTGCATAGGATGGAGTGGGGTTTGGGTTAGCATCATGAGTAGGGTGGCTGTCTTTTACAACTAGTGACTTATCTCTAATATTATCTGACAAAAAATAATGATTACTAGTGGCAGGTTTCTTACGTCGTTGAAGGTCCTTATATACTGCACAACCTTTGTAACTAGCTGGGTGATTCCCTTGGCAGAGTGCGCATGATGGTGAAGTATCACGTGGATTTGGACAAGCGGATGATGGGTGGCCGGCGCCGCAGCGAACGCATCGTGGTGGGTAGCCACAGTACGTTTTTGTGTGACCGTAGTTTTGGCAATATAGACATTGGCTTATAGTTTTAGCTTTGAACGGTTCTTCTACTTTGATTTTTGTGTGTAATAGATTTGTCAATTTGTATATATCTTTTGATTGGTTGCTGGGTTCTAGATCAACAAAAAAAAGTGGTAATGGGTGCTTATTTGTTTTGTGTAGAACATTGGTAATATTTCTAACTTCAAAATTATGAAATTCTAATTCAGATTTTATAAGACTAGTTGGCGTTGATGGATGTAGGTTGCGAATTACGACGCGGACGGGCTTATCTTGTTGAAGCTGATAGGTGTGGTATTCGGCTTTTTCTTCCTTTAAATACCGTATCAGTGACCTATATGCATCTGGAGTGCTAGTTTGAATTTTTAATCTGTCTGCAGATGATTTGCAGACAAAGTTTTCAACACCGATTAATTCTACAAGTACTGTGCATAGTTCTGGAAAATCCTCGACACCTCTTACAAAAATCGGAGGAGGGGGTTTAATTGGTGGATTATTAATACACTCTGTCTGCATGTCAGTAGTAATGTTTTCAGTAGAAACATTGAGCGGGAAATCGAATTGATCATTTAACTGATTGGATTGTTGGTCTTCGTTTGAAGCGAGGGCTTCATAACGATTTGCTGAAGTGAATATTTTTTTTCTTGTTTTGGGAGGTTGTACACGTGGAGAGTTTGGTTCTGAATTAGTAGAACTAGAGAGATTTCTTTTAGATCTTTGTACAGTCCATCCTGCTTCTGATTGATTATTACTTGTGTCTAGTGATGAGTTGAAGGTTTTATTTTTACTAATTGTTAACGGGGATACGCTGTTATTTGTTATACTAATATCATTATTATTATTCTTGTTGTTGATGTTATTTCTGCTAGTCATTTTAACTAGAATGTAATTATTATAATTAAATTACTAAATAAATGAAGTAACAATCACAATGCGATTGCAATAAAATAAATGAAGACGACGGTGGGATGCGATAACGTAATGTATTATTATTAATAATAAGGAGACCGCCGAGGCGGCCGCCGATAAGACCGTATGCACTTGGGCTGCTAATATTACAGCTAGATGACAATTACCGTTCGATATTTTACGTTTGTTGCTGTGCACGAGACTCTAGTTGAGAGTGAAAAATAAGTAGAGTGGTTACATAGACAAGTCACATCTTGATAACCGGTTTAGCAATAATAAACGAAAACACACGTTGTACGATAAGACAGTAACTTAGACCGCACTATACGCACATGCGTATCGAACGACGGCTATCGCGGAACTGAGATTTTAAAATATAAGATCTAAATCATAGACTTAGATTAGATTAAAAAATGTAACACCTTTTTTATAGAAATCATGTAATTTATGTAATAAAGTTAAATTAATATTAGTGTTATTTTAATTGCATAATAAAGTTATAAACTAAGAAAGGTCAGAATTTAATATTTTTAAACAGCAATTTATTTGTATCATTACATTTCACGTAAAAGAGCTACAACTAAAGACCTTTCATTTGTAGGTATATATAAACATTTGTATTTTAAACAATTATAGTAAATTTTTTTGGGTATTAAGTGTTGCCCACTTTATTAAGTATACTTGCCCCCATTTTTTTGTTAAATTTTTTGACGAAGTTTACAGATTAAAATTTGATTGATTATTTTAGATCATATTAAATATTGGGTTTATTATAAAATAAAATTATTTTTAAGGGTTGATGTTAGGGGTAAATTTCGAAAGTTAATTGGGAACCTATTATTTTTTATTGGGAAATGGTCTAATTGAAAAGTTGACTAGTACATAATCTGTATTGTATTATTATTTTTTGAGTTGTAGATGAGCGGGCTGCGCAACATGGAAAATTTTTCAAATATGCGTCTTGGTAAAACTAGACAGTTGCTAAATACTACTCGCTCCTCACCTTTACTTAATCTTTAAATTCTAATATTTCAAGAATTAATATTAGAAAACTGGTTATCGACTTGTCAAAATTTTATTTAGACCATTTTAGAATCAAATAAGAATTACTATTTCGGTTTGTCATTTGTTGTGTTACATAGTTTATGGTTAAGTTTATTAAATATTCTAACCTTAATCCAACCAAGAGTGTAATGACTTATTAGTCATCACACATATGAATTTGTATTTCATACCTTGTATTAAAGCACACAAAGTACTCGAAGGGCATTAGATCCTGGAGTATTTACATTAAATTAGGGTAATTTGAACAAAATTTGTTCGGAAGTTTTAAATTTACGCATACGCTCTGTATGCTAATAGACTTTATGTATAAATCAAGTGCTGTACTTGTAAATTTGAGAATGGTGATCTTTACTAGTATGAATAGTTGACTAAGGTTTAAAAAGAATTATGAGTAAATTTTACTATTTACCTGTTTAAAATTTGAGCTCTCTATAAATTTCAAAAAAAAATGTTAACACATAAGCGCGTGGAGAAAAAGTGATAGTTGAGATAGTACTTGTTTAAGACGCGCTATAAAGCGTATACAGCAAAAAGTCCACGGGAATCTGGCATCAGTCAAACTTACACGTGTCGTCGGTCATCTTTGATAAGTACAATATTTATTTAGATCTCAATTGTGACCTTTTTTCAACTTTAGAGTGACTTTGTGTGGGAATTTTTTAATATCTATTTTTATAATATAATTAGACTTCGCGTTTGAGACCTAAGCGAGATAATGAAAACTAAGCGAAGTCACAAACATAGATCGTAAATTAATAATTGTAGCTACGTTTGGGCGATTTCAAAATTGTTATTTAGACATCACATAGATCTCTTATTGTTATGTTGTATTTTCATCAATAATTGTATTCGCATAGATGTTAAAATCAAGGTATGCACATAGGGAATATATGAGAAAAAAAAAGATTATTAATAATGTACTGTTCTCATAATGAAAGTACAAACTTATATAATTATAACCATCTTGAAATTTATATATAACGTATAACATTCCTCTACATAAAATATATAACACTATATAAAATATAGTGTTATGTGCAAATTCAAAATAGTGTCCTAATAAAAATACATATTACACCATATAATTAAGGGGCAGGATAAACGTATGAGCAGAAATGAGTCAATGAGCATATTAAAACCAATAATTTACCTGGAGCCTGGTGACCGAGTACTTTCGTTGAAAAAAAAAAATTTTGAAAATCCGAACACGCTAATTAAATTTTCCAGAAAAGCGTTATTTTCCCTGTTCTATTATATAATTAGAAATTAAAAAATAAAAAAATATATTATTTTTAATTGTTGTTAAATTGATTTAATGGTTCACATAAATAATTCTAAATTTATTTAATTCATGAATTAACAGCTCTATAATTTAACATGCGTAACTTAAGTTTTACAAAAATAAAAATACATAATAAAAATGTCTCTAAAATGAACTATATAAACTGTGATTTAATACTGTTTCATATTCGTAAATGTATCTAGTTGTTTTAGTTAATTTATTTGTTACACTAAATCACAAAATGTATAATCAAATTGTTTTGATTATACATTTATTTTGTTTTGTGAATATTTCCATAATAATCATTGAAGGAGCAGACAAGTCATTGGTATTTATCCTTAAAACAATTATTAAAAAAAACCATCATAATATACATTGTACTATGTGCGATTTATTTAAAATTTTTAACAAAAATATAGATTAACTTNTATACATTGTACTATGTGCGATTTATTTAAAATTTTTAACAAAAATATAGATTAACTTATAGAAGAGCCAACATTATATTTAGTCAATAGGATTACTATGATGCATTTAAAAATAACGATTTTATTAAGAAAATGAGATTTAAATTTATGCAATTTAATTATTATATAGATTGAACGATTAAATATTAATTTATATGGTGTTATATTAAATAAATATGAACAAAAGTTAAACATTTCAAAAAGCCATTGTTTCTATTTGAAGTTATAGACTTTTATAGTTGAATAATGTCTTAACCTATCATTTGATATATTTTTTTTTTTATAAATTTGACTCTTTACCTGCCCACAGGGAGGGATTCAAAATGACAACTTTTTCACAAAAAATTAACTTTTGAAAGTGTTTCAAAAATACTGATAATTATATATATATATATATATATATATATATACATATATATATTAAATTAAATCTTATGTAATATACTTTATTATGAAAAAAAAAATTTTGGACTTTATTTTGTTTTCACGGTGAAAATGGATACCAAATGCTATTTTTGTGTGAAAATTTTCGATTTTATTTTTTACATTTTAAACTTTATAATGCTATATCATATTGAAAAGTGTATGGACCATCACAGTTTTTTATGAGAAATAATATTTATATCCCTTTTTCAATCGACATACTTTATCTTAATCAGGATAAAAATACGGAAATAGCAGATCATGTAGCTTTTTGAATGATCTACCAATTTTTTAAAATTAAACACTATCTAAAGATTTACATCGAAGCGTTTTTTTTTATAGTGATTTTAATCACTGTCATATATTGTGCCGCGACACTCCTGTGCAGGCTTTTTTTATATTATTTTTAAAATTATTGTCTTAATTTAAGATATATTTTTTAAATATTTAAGAAGCGGTTTTTTTTTATTTTTGGGAAAAATTAGTTCAACTAGATAAAATTTCTGTATTTTTGACACAATAATCAACAAGATTGTCCAGTAAAATCTAAGAGTTTTCTAAATACAAAATAATACATAATGGTAAACCAATAATCTTTTCACCTTCGCATTAAAGTTAAAATAAATTATATTTTTAATTATCTTCTCCAACAAAAACAGTCGGAAATAAAAATTTTTAATTTTCCTGATCATTACTTATTCTTTTACAATTTATTTTTTCTATATTCTAACAAAAAAAAATTATTTTTACCTTTCTAAGAAAAAAAACATTTACAAATATTCGTTAGTTACGTTGTTTTAATTGGATATATCAAAATATTTTAAATCTGAATTAGTATTATATATAACTTTTGCAATTATAAATAAGTAATTTATAATTGAATAGAATGTTTACAATAAAGAAATTGGTGATGATACATTTAAAAAGTTCGGCAATGATGGTAAGATGACTTTTGAACAATTTTCAAAGGCTTTGAAAGATTTTAAAATTGTTGTATGTGAAGAACATCGGCAAGAGGCGTTTAATGAAATGAAAAAAGAAGGTAATGTAAATTTAGCTGGTTGAAAATTACATTGAATCTTATATAATATGAGGAAAGTCTACAACACTCTTTCTTATCAAAAAACAATTGAAAATTTTAATTGACATAAAGAGCTAAATTATTTAGTTGAAAACTCTGTCAATATTACCATTTAATATTTTTAATCCATTGAAGAAGAAAATGCTCAACTTTTAGTTTCTTATATAAGAATAAAAGCTTAGCTTCAATAAAAAGAAAATTTTCCGAAAAAATACAGATGGTATAAATAGTCAATTTTGGTATTTTTAGTTTTCATTTTAGCTTTGATGCGAATCTGAGAGGGTATTAATTTTACTATTATGTGTTTTTTTTGTGTGTCTGTTACCACTTTTACTCAGCTCTCACCCAACCGATATCTTTCAACGATACGTCAAAAGATCACAAATCGTATCTAGTCGAAGAAACTACTCTCAAAAATTCAAAAATTTCCCTTGTTCCCCGTAAATTAGTGAAATATCCAAAAAAATTACAATATTAAATATCGCTAATTTTCGACATTAAAAAAAAAATTATTTTTTAAACTACCATAACTTTTTTTAAAAATTATGAAATCAATGTAAGTTTTTTTTT